CGTAATTTTAACCATTTCAATAAAAAAATACTATAAATTATAAAAATCAATTTCGAAAATATCAATAAAATAAATTAAGTTTATTGAATTTATATAATATTGAATAATACTTCTAATAAATATACGAGCTCTATTTTAGAGCTTAAAATTATATTTACAAACAAATTCATCAACAAAGGAGCGAAATCGTTTGATATTAAAAACTATTTGTCGCTTGACAGTACTTATGAGTTCATCAGCTGATTCTATTTTCTGCTTTCTCTTTTTCTTTCTTTCTTTCTATTTTGCAATTATATCTACTTATCAAACAAACCGCACAGATGTGATTATATATTAGATAATAAATTAACTTTGAAATAATAATAAACAAAATGAAATAAGGGAATAGCAAATAGCAAATAGCAAATAATAAAAGAAGCAAAATAAAAAGAGCGAATTATATATTGTTTTTTGTTTTTATTTTTATTGTTTTACAAATTATAATAATATTAATATTTTTCTCTTTACATTTTATTATAAGTAAGTATAGTCAGAATTCCGAGTTGGAGCTAAGCAATCGCTATCTCAACCTATTGATTTATTATGCTCATAAATGGCCCAAAAGTCGGGTCGTGCAGAGAGGCAGGAATTTAACTTGCCACAGACCTCATCCCACATATCACCATGTACCCCGGTAGGTATCGTGAGAACTTATATTGTTAATTAGCCAGTAAAAGCTGCCCTACTAAACTATATCATTATTTTCATTTTCTCGTACCTCATACACATCGATTAATTTATTCGATCCTTAAATGCAAACGCCTTGTTTCGCAGGTATATCAGAACCCACACCACAAAATGCAAAAAGATGTCCTGCTCGCTTATAAATTACCCTTTTCAAAGGGAGATAATGCCCCTTCAGAAACCAGTCTGATGCCAATGTTCATGCGCCCCAAGTCTTCCATTGCACATGCCAGGTCCAAACCAATCAAACAATTCTACCACCATGAAATGAAATGCTAAAAGACCGCCAGATATGCCCCAACTTAATTTTGTTCCGAGCCCCAGTTCAACGGCGGCTATTACGACGAGAGGATACCAGATCCATCGTCTAGCGAGAGAGGAAAGACATGGCTTTGTTATCATGAAAACTTTGAAAAGAAATATTGACACTCTAGCTAATAAGGTAAGAGATTGCTTATTGTGATGAGCCCACGTTTCACCATAGTGACGGTAGAGAGATATGCGATTCTTGAAAGAGGCAACAAGCGTGGTGGGTGGTGGCATTAGTAGTGGAGTGGTGATGTAAGGTTTTGTAACAGGAACAGCAGTGCGAGTTCGACTGATTTCCAATGCGAGCTGGGAGGTTGGTGTGGGTGAGGATGAACGAGATGAGGTCTCAGATGAAGCATCTTCGATATATGCTCTCGAGCGCACTCGCTTCGGTTCTCGTTCGTTAACTGGTGTTGCGGGTGGCATGGGTGAGTCAATTGCTTGGATTCTTCCACGGATTCCCGATGAACTACCATGCCGCGCACGGGTTGGATTTTGTAAGCCTCTTTCTGTTCTGATTGCTTCTAAGATCTCATTTGCACTTGGTCGATCGTTGGGATTGACAGCAAGTAATTTCTTGAGAAAGTTGTAGAGCTGATTTGGTAATTCTGGTCGCTCTCGTCGTTCGTCTTGAAATCCAGACCATGTACTAATTTCAGCCCTAAGTAGATCCATGTCTTCAAAGTCTTCCTCGAAGCTGTCTGCACTCTTGTAAGGAAGTCGTCGGAAACACATGAAATACAGTATCATTCCCAAGCTGAAAATGTCAGATTTCGTAGTGAAATTCCCATATCGACCAAACTGATCTTGCTTCAAAACTTCAGGAGCACAGTACGATATCGTGCCTGTAGACCCCGTCGATTTCCTTACAACGTTTTCCGCTTGCACTTCTCCGAAGTCGCTTATGAGGCATCTCATATCACTTCCATCCTGATGTAGCAAGCAGTTACTTGGTTTCAAGTCTCGATGAATGTAATTCGAAGCGTGTAGATGTGCAAGGCCCGACGTAATATCCTTGAAGAACGAATAAATTTCCTCAAACTGCAATTTTCGCTGTGATGATCTCAGATCAGGTCGTTCGGCGCCCCCTCTTGATCTTCTTCGCATTTGCTCCTTCAATTGTTCATTTGTCGTCTGCACATTTGGCGTAGGTCCAGCGATATAACGTAATAAGTCTCCGGAGTTGCAATACTGCTGAAGAATGTAGGCGCATGGTACTGAGGGACTGAACCGATTCACTTGAACGTCTTCGAGCCAGACATGTCGATACGATACGAGGTTTGGGTGAGAAAGCCCCTGTAAGAGCTGAACCTCAATGAGAACTGTAGAAGTTAGTACAGGAATTGCGAGTAAAGAGAATCATAATACCTTTCTCTAACCATGCATGATCATCTCCAACTGGTACTCTCTTGCACGCAAATTGACCTACAGCCCGTCAGCACATCGTTTTGTATATTATTGGATCTTCATACCTAGAGACACCCCATCGAGCTCATGGCGGACTAAAAGAACTACTCCCTTCCCTCCACGGCCTAATTCCTTTTCCTCAATGAAGAATCTCTTGAAATAGTTTGGGCTGAAAGCTTCCTTCTTTATAGTATGCCCCGTTTCCACTGCTGGAGTACTTGCCACAAATTCTACATGGTCTTCTGTATCATGTACATAGTTCGCAGATGGAGAGGCAGGTTGCACGAGTCTGCGAATCGGACTGGAGGGTGCTTGCTCATTCGGACCACTGTTTGCAGCATGAAGCATGCGAAAGTATTCTGGAGCTATGAAAGCATTTGCACGAGCGGAAGGAGTAGGCTGCTGTCGCTCGGGAGAGGGTGCGCGCAATGGTCGATGACATGTTGGGCAATCATTTAAGACGAGACCGGGAGGGGCACTTCGTAGAACTAATTGTTGAGTATTGGGATCCCTTATAACGATCGCATCATCATGACGACTGTGAGACTAAATATTAGCATGCATGTGCTAGCTAGCTTCCAGCTTCCAATTCAATCAAATGCTGTGAGCAGACAAAAAAAAAGAGGTTTAACCTACAGTACAATTTCTCGACTGTCTCGAGATGAATATGGGACTAAAGACATGGTAGAGAGTCGGTGCTTGTGAAGTTAACCTTGGAAGCAATTGATTGATGTTATAAAACAAGATCTTCTCAATCTTTTATGTCACATTGTTTATTATTTGAGTAATGCTTTGATAACATAAGTCGAGTGTGTATACAAGAGGTGTACATGCAGCAATTGCAGTAATGTGAGGATACACAATATTCAATACAATCGTTATCCAATTCCCAATAAACTTTTTATGTCGCCATGACATGTTCATGTTCATGTTCATGTTCATGTTATCGGGACGGGACGATCATTCTAGTGACTGCCATTGTTGTCCAGGCGTTTCCCTTTCCCCACATTGTTTACATCAGCCTCCTCAGCCTCCTCAGCCTCCTCAGCCTCACTAAAATGTCGATTTTATAGGTCTCCGTCACTGAGGTGATACTACCGACAAGGGCCGATCCCATCTTTCAACTCTCTGTACCCATTTTCATACCCAATCTGCAATCTGCAATCTTCAATCTTCAATATCGACAACTGCATCCAACCATGCCTTTGAAGTTACAAGGCCTTCAAGTTACAAGGCCTTCAAGTTACAGAATCTTCATCAATTACCATAAGCTACGTGCGTTGCCACTGAGCACTGGGGCATACAATGAACTTTGGATATTCAATCAACTATCGATGACTTGATGGATGAGTTCGTGACTGACTCTGTTTACGAAGTCAAAACCTCAAAGTAGCAGTGACGAACGGCTGACACGAGGCGGGTACCTACATCTATCCATCTTGCTGAAATCAAACATTCCGGATCATTACATTATGATTTACATGTGGGCAGATAGTATGGAAGTTGTCTCGAAGAATGAGCTCCATTATCTCAACCTCTCAATGTTAAACATCATTAAAGTTATTTGATATTGATGCTCGGGGTTTGATGCCACTACGACTCAACTACTGTTTACACTGGATCTTCAAACACTGACAACGGATGTGACATTGTATTGCTTTCGGGGGAGGTCACCAAGAAAGCCATGCCGAAGACAATCGGCGAGGATTGTTTCAATGTCTTACTGTACCACATGATCACCTCGACAACATCCACAAAGATTCTCCCCCGCCCCATATGGAGTTGGTCATTCTACTTCGACATATGCTGGGCCCAATAATACATCTTGCGCACATGGTAACGCGATTATGTACAGGTCTCGCATGCTTTGTACTGAATTCGGAGGTTAATATGCAGCCTACCGCATTAAGCAAGCATGGGATATTCCTTCTCGAAGGCGGAAGCTTGCAGAGAAGGTTTTTGAGGTGCGGCTAATCATCTCGATGATCGGAGTAACAACAAAGAGGATCAATAGATCTCATCTTATGACCATCGAGCAATTTTGCATCGGACCGCTTGTAAAGATTGGGTGATACAAGACGTATTTGACCTTCGAGGAATCATTAACCGTTCAAAGTCATGAAGCCCATTTTGAAACGACGAAGTTCTTTGTTTTCAAAATTAGATTTGGGTCCTTCTTTACATATTACGGCTTGTACCTCAACTAGTTTGAAGCCACAAACGAGTACATCTATTGGATGGTATACAGAAGCTCTAATTTTGCCAAGGTCCAAAATCTTCGATAGAACAAAGGGTGAAGTTCACGTTGTTCCATTGTGGCTTCTAGAAAATTATCTTTATTGAGAAGAATTATTTTGGTGCTTCCATCTTTTCGATGAAGTGTTACATATAAATTTAAAAGCCAGAGATGATTCAATGGATCGTCAATTACAGGCGGTATGGGTGATGCAAGTTTGATAATCGGCGTGATAATCATTGTTGTTACGGTCATTGGAGGTGCAATTGGCTTTTTCGTATGGTACCAATTATGAAGGTCAAGACAGTGCAATGGAGAAATACCGATGAACCCTCTACAGGAACGTCGTCCAGATGGTCAACGTGGACGAGTCCATGAAGAAGGTCGCCACACACAAAATCGGCGTCAAGGCACCCCCGGTTTGGCTGACATTATTGGCAATTCTCTTGACCGTCCTAGGGATAGAACAGAGAATAATGATGGTCGAAGCCTAGCAGATATTGTAATTCCACCACCCAAACGACGAAGAAAGGCATCAGCAGCTCGTTTGATGAAAGTACAGAAACGAGACATCGCCGAAGAACCAGAAGATGGGCCAAGTACAGCTAATGCTGAAAATCGGTCATCGGATGGCTTGCGTACATCTACTACACATGATGATCAATCTACAGTAGGATCTGGAGAAAAAAGCAAAGGCAAACCAGCCCCCGAAAAGTTTCAAAGACCAGTCGTCTCTCCTCAGAATATCGATACTCCTCTCATTACAGTCGAGTCCTCTGCGAGCTGTTCTCAAGAAGAGGGCAGCCTTGAATCAGAATCTTGACCGATCAAACTAGCAAAGATGGGGGACAGCCAATATGCTGATAAATCATGTCAATTTGTAATCTCGGGAAATAACGACTGCGATTTTACCGAACCCCGCGATACCAACTGACGTAAACGAGGCAAGGGAAATTGCTTGCGGATCAAAATGTAAGATCCTCCCCAAATATATCAAGCTGCGACTTACATATGGGAAAACATTCGGAGTATGGAAAATGATCAAGTCCGAACCTAGTAGATACCAGCAGTGCAGACAGGAATTATGATATGATATAAAAAGACAGAGAGGGCTGTTCATATAAAATACATAATATCTTGAGGTGGCAGACTTAAGTTTTTTATATATACTATTTTCCATTTCAATCGCCACATAATATCGAGAGATTACAAGACAAATTGCCTTGCTAAAATATGTCGAAACTTATTGTTATAACCAGTGTCACCGGTGCCCAAGTGCGAATTCCCATAAACTCAGGTGTACGGATGCTAAGCAAAGATAGGGATCATCAATTGCCGAAACATTTCTCCGCTTCCCAGAATGGCGAGTTCGAGGCACAACACGCAATCCAACAAGTGTGACTGCTCAAGCATTAGCAGAAAACGGAGTCGAAATTGTCCAAGCAGACTTTGATGACAAACCATCATTATCTTCAGCTTTCCAAGGGGCAACTGTAATTTACTCTAATACCGATTTCTTCGTGCATCTCTTCACAGGTATATCCGCAGGCTCGCCTCCTGGCCGCACAGTCCTCGAACATGCCTATGATCGGGAAGTCGCCCAAGGGATCAACATCGCAGAAGCAGCTGCTTCACCGAGTGTTCTCGAAACGTTGGAGTATTTCATCTATTCCTCTCTGAGCGATGCAATGAAATGGAGCAAAGGTAAATATACCTCGGTATATCATTTTGATTCGAAAGCCGAAACAATCCGGCAGATTGAATCTCGATTTCCGGATTTGGCAACGAGAATGAGTACCCTCCAAATGGGATATTATGTCACGAATTGGAAAGCTTTTCTACCGATGGCACCACAAAAACAGGATGATGGGAGTTTTTTGTTTGAAAGACCTTTGAGTCCGGATAGTGTGGTAGACTTTGTCGTGACGCAGAAAGATACGGGAGGGTTTGTTAAAGCGTTGATTGAGATGCCGCCGGGAAAGAATCTTATAGGTGTTTCGGAAAGAATGACATGGAAAGAGTGGACGAAGATTTGGGGGGATGTTTTAGGAGTCAAGGCGGGGTTTAGACAGGTTTCGGCAGAGACGTTTTGGAAAGGGACACCGGATGCTTTGAGGGAGATGCAGCTTGCTTGGGAGTATGTGGATGAATTCGGTCATACGGGTGGGGATCCGGACGTTTTGAGACCGGTTGAGGTGAGTTTTTTTTACTTTCTTTTTATGTTGGGTGGTGAAAGATACAGTGCTGATGTTTAGTGTAGCTCAAGGTCAAGATCCCGGTGACGTCGATGGAGGAATATATGAAGAGTGAAGATTGGACAGCTGTCTTGAGTTCTTGAAGAGGAAACTCTATTTTGCAGGAGCAGGTACATCTCTATAAAATTTTTATCTATGGTATTCAAGAGATCAAGAGATATAAAATCATCCATAACAGTAATTTTATAACATAATCGATGGGGAATTATCTTCTCTCCCGCTTTCAAAGCCCCCCTCTCTCACACACACATTGACCTTCTTGTCTTTCAACACGAATCCACATTTCTGTGGATTCAAATAATGATGATCTGGGTTGGGATGGTATTCTTGCTTCAGTTTTTAATATTTTTCTTGCTATATGTTTTTAGATAAAAAATACCAAGGACTGATGTTAATGACCAGTCGAAGTGTAATTATTTTCTGCTTAACGTGGTTTATCACCAGGTCGCTAATATCACCAGATCGCCATTTTATATATAATATTTAATTACTTTAAATTTATATTATTCAATAACAATTAAATCAATTAATTGAAATTATTAAGAATCTAATAATCTAAAATCTATTTTATTATTTTGATAAATTCTTATATTATATTCTGTTTTTCTGTATTTACTATAATATTAAATAAAAAATGTTTTTTTATTAAAATCCTTTTCTTTTTAATACTTATTATATTGAATCTAAATATTAATCTTTTACTAAAATAATATATCAAAAGCCTCTTATTTAATAAATATATCTTCTTAATATGATTAAGTTTTTTTCGTATATCAATATTTATTTAATATTTTATTTATTATTTGAAGTATATAATTCTTTATATTCAAAAGTATATTCTTATTATAACGGAGGGATAGCTATGTCGATTGGTCACTCTGATTATATAATAGGTATGTATAGTGATAATAAACTAGATTAACTTGAGGTATGATTATAAGGATTATACCTATCTTATATATTCTAATCAAACAATGAAGTTGTTTAATTAGATATTAGGGTTTATATATAAAATGAATAGAAGACTATATAGTGATTATAGGAATAAGCACTTCGGAGGAGTACTATGCTCAATTATATATTGTTGCACAAGACAGTGAATTCCGTGACACTTATAAATTAATTTTTTTATACTTTTAGTTAGAGTTAATATAGCTTCAAATATAAATATAAAAAAACTTGATTAATAATAAGTTATTCGAGATTTAATTAATATTAATTGAGAAAGAGCTTCAATTAAATTATAAGGGATTTAAAAGATTTATTGATTTAAATTGAAAAAGAGAGGAATAGATATACAAATTCGAATATCTAATTTTGAGAAAATAGTTTTAGAATTAAATGATATTAAACCTACTCCTCAAAATTCTGATTTTATATTCTGAGAAATAATTGATTCTTAATATATAATTTTGAAAATTATAAAGAATTTAATTTTCGAAATATAATTAATATATATTTTAATAAATCTATTAATTTGAATATCATATAAATATTTTAAATTATTAAAACAATCAATATCAAATAATTGAATTAAATGATTTAAATATAATAATAAATATATATATATAATATTATTCTCTTTATAATATAACTAAAAAACTATAGATTTATAGCTTTATATATTCATTTAATACTAATATTCAATATTTGCCCTCTTTTTAATTTAAAATATACTTATTAAAATATTTCAATTATTTTAAATTTATCTCATTATTTATTTATTTATTAGAAATGGGTTTAATAATTCAATTCATAGAAAAATCAATTTTGATATATGAATTAGAAAAATAAATCTATTCTTGAATTATTAGAAATAGAGATATAATTTTATTTTCCCTGTTATTATATATAATTACTATAGTTCATCTTTTATTATCTAATTATATTACTTTGTTTCTATTATTTCATTTAATATTAATAATAATTATATTAGTATATTGTCAGAGTACGGGTAAAGACTTATATTGTATCATAAGAGTAGAAGAGCTATGGAAGAGTAAAGCCCTATTTATAAAAGATAGGGCATACTAATAATCTATACCTGAGATACAAAAATAATTATAGAATATATAGTTAATACCATAATAATATTTCTTGCTTAAGGCAATCGATTTACGATTATAATCAAAATACTCTAATTTCTATTATTGAATTAAAATAAACTTTTTTAAAAATAATAATTAATTAATAAAGTTTTTTAGATTTGCCTCAATCTCATTTCAGAAATATATTTGATATATCTAATATAAGTATTAATAAAGAATTAATAAAATTAAAAATAATAGATTTTTTGAAATCTATTTAAATCAATAAATCTAGCTTATTTGAATTCGTTAAATAAAAGATAATGATTATATTTTCCTAATCATAAAGATTTTTAATAAGTTGCCAAAATATTAGATGATATTTCTATTTGATTTAATAATGAAATCTGTTTTTATTATAATAATCAAGAATTTCTTTAAATTTTTATTATTTAGTTTTTTTGTATATTTTATTATTTCTTTTGAGGATTTAGCCTTAATTTCTATATAATTTGATAATATTAATAATATCCTAATCTAATAATTCTAATAAATAATAAAACAATCAGAATAATAAAGTATAAAATCTTAAAAAGATTTTTGAAATTAATTAGAATTGAAACAAAAGATACATTATAACCGTGAAAATCGTATAAAAACTAAATCTAGTTATATTAAAGCCTTTTTTATAATAATTAGTTTTTATATCTTTATATGTAACTTATATTTTTTATTTCTTTTTTTATTATAAAAGAGTATTGGTATAGATTTTATTATTAATCTTTGTATTTTTGATTAAGTAAACGATAATGTAACTTTTAATTTAATTAAAATAAATCAAATTGAATTTATAATCTTATTAGCTTTAGAAACTCTTGTTTTCATTTAATATATAGATTTAATAAAATAAATATAATAACTTAATATTGAATAATATAAATAAAAACTATAATTAGTAAAGAAGAAGAAGATATTAATAATTTTTAATATAGTATTATTTAATACAAATTCTATAAATACAAAATTCATTAAATTAATTATTCAATAAAAGGTTTATAAAAATATAAAGATATTATTCAACTATAATATTGATTCTTTTTATTTAATTATTGGATTTGGAATAGAATAAGAAAAATTGTTTTAAAGCGATTAATAAGTATTCAAATAAATATTTTCAAAACTTAGAAATAAATTGTAAACCTCTATTGGATATAATATTATTAAATATATTATACAAATAATAAATCTTTTTGACAAATCAATTTACAAGCCTTTTTATAAATAATCCTATAATTAATATAAAATATTATATTTTGATCAAATAATAAACAATTATAATAATATATTAATACTTTTTTCCATAATATTCACTAATTAATAATAATATAATATAATCAATGGAAATATCAAACCAAAAACAAAATAATATTAATAATAATTCAAAGAATCCAAATATAATAAAGCAAAAAGCTTTTATTCGAAAATAGAATTAACAAGCTTATATAAATATCTCAATCTCCCTTGATATATTAAACTATTAA